ACGTCCTGTGGGGGACGACGACAACCGACAGCGGATAAAAGACGTATAATTTTTCCAGTAGTGTAGGCCTAACAGGGGGCATTTGGAATATATTTTTGAATATTCCCTACAATATGTCCTTTAGGGTTTAGAAGGGGGTTGTCCCTTATATATAGTGAGGAAACAACCTTGTAAAAGGGACCTTTTTTCTTTCGACTAAGAACTTCCATTGTAATATTCACTCTACATTCTTGGTGATCATTTATACAGGCTTACTCATTCCATTCCATGAGATCAATAAATACTATTTACCTTGTTCATCCCTCATGTCTCTCATTCTGGAGTTTATTATACTTGGCTGAGATTTACCCTTTTATCTTCTTTAATTGATTTAACCAAAAAGGGTTCGATAGCTTTTGGGTCAAACAATTTGGCGCCCTCTGTGGGGATTTCTTTAGATATGATTATAGTTTCATCCAGACTCCTAAAAGGGATAATCACTTCTTCCGAGCTTGGTACAAACCAACAATGGCAGGGAATGGAGATGCAAGGCTAAAAGCCTTAGTAGGCGTCACAGCCAACCTCCTAGATACCATCAACGAAGATAGCAGAGAATAACATGAAAATGAAACACCAAACATCACACCCGAGGGAGACACTTCACCTCTCCTGCACGGGAGCGTGCCGGCTTCACACAAAAGGGAAGCCTCCATATCTGCAACAGGAGAGGCACCGTCGATAGTAAGAAAACTGCTGGAAGAATGGTTAACAAGTACTCTGAACACCATCCTTAATAAACCCACCCAAAGGGATGATAGGAATGTGACACATGCAGATGTCACAATAAACGAGGGTGAGCAAGACGCCCCCCGTACAGGTAACACTTATGTTGCTAATAATGCAAGCAATGATATGCTTGCAGCCGTTTTCAAGAAAATGGAGGAGATGGAAAATGATAATAAGGCAGTCTGTGACCAAATAAAAGAACACCAAGAGAGAGTTGACAAAATACTAGGCATTCCAAAGTTCCTGCCAAAACGCAATGTTGGGCGATTCATCGAGCAGCCATACAGTGAAAAAGCGGCCCTGTACACCATTTCAAAGACCTTCAAAATTCCGCACTACTTAAAGATATATGATGGTACTACCGATCCGGAAGACCACATCATCCACTACGTTACAGCCGTAAAAGGCAACAATCTCTCAAAAGAACATGTACCGTTGGTGCTATTGAAAAAGTTCGTCGAAACCTTAAAAAGAGGAGCCTTGACATATTACTCACAACTACCAGCACGCTCGATAGAAACATTCGAGGAAATGGCAGACAAATTCATCACCGCCCATGTTGGAGCCAAAAAGGCAGAGGCTAGGGTAAATGATATATTTGCCATAAGACAGATGCATGCCGAGGAGATTAGGGACTTCTTAGATCGATTCAACTATATAAGAATGACCTTGCCGAATATGTTAGAAGGAATGGCAATAGAGGCCTTCTAGAACGGATTAAACATAAACGGGTCGAGGGCGACCAAGAAAGGGGTCAAAAACCGAAGATTGCGTGGTAATACGACAGGAAGTAGTACGAATGCTAAACCAGGGTCACCTGAAGGAGTTGTTGAGTGATCGAGGACGGACTAACTTCGCCCCACGGATGCGAACAACCCCAAGGACCTCCACAACCGCCTTCTCCAGCTCGCACCATACAGATAATCATCGGCGGGGACGACGACATAGCGATTAATCATGTCAAGTTCACCACCACACATAAACTCAAACGATCAATCACTGACGAACGATATGATGACCTCGAAGACAGTATCATTTTCAATATGTCGGATATCGATGGTTTGTCTTTCCCTCACTATGATGCTCTTGTTATCACTTTATGTATCGCAGATACTGATGTAAAAAGAATAATGGTAGATGATGATAGTGGCGCGTGTATTATCCATCCTCGAGTTCTCATACAGATGAGACTCGAAGATAAAATAATACCACGATGCATAACGCTAACGGGTTTTAATAATGTAGTTGAACGGACTTCGGGAGAGAGTTCTACTCGTCCTAGCCGGAGGAGTCACCCTGGAAACAACATTTCACGTCATGAACCAGGAAATGGCTTACAACGCCATCATAGGGCGCCCGTGGATACATGCCATGCGAGCGATCCCTTCCAGTCTCTATCAAGTGATCAATTTTCCTACCCCATGGGGAATATTTAGCATTCGAGGGGAGCAACGCACTGCACAATAATGCTATCGCATCGCCCAAGATTGGGCACACACCCAATAACTCAAAAGAGCAAATGCGGAAGTATAACAATCAGCAATGTCGGGAGCCAAACCTAACATGCAGACAGATGTTATCAAGGACCCCAACATCGTGGAAGCATCTGAATCAATGATAGAAAATTTTGATCCCGTCCTACTAGATGGCAACGACAACACAAAAAAGGCTTATATCAGGCACAACCTCTCGGAACCAGGTAAATTTCATAAGTTCTTGACTAACCATGCCGATCTATTTGCCTTCTCCCATGTAGATATGCCAGGCATTCCAAAAGATATCGCCACCCACAAGTTAAACGTCGACCCCCTATATCTGCCAGTGCGGAAAATGAGAAGGAAGTTCAATGTCGCAATCAACGAATCCATTAGCAAAGAGGTCGATAAGCTACTCGTAAATGGCTTCATCAGGGAATCAAAATATCCTTAATGGGTTGCCAATGTGGTCATGGTGAAAAAGAAAAACGAAAAATGGCGAATGTGTGTAGATTTCACGGACCTGAACAAGGTATGTCCGAAAGATTCTTTTCCATTGCCGCACATCGACCAGCTCATCAATGCAACAATAGGACACGAATTGCTAAGCTTATTGGATGCTTATTCGGGGTATAACTAGATCCTCATGGAAGAAGAAGACCAAGAGAAAATCAGTTTCATCACTCACCAAGGAACATACTGCTACAAGGTGATGTCGTTCGGACTAAAGAATGCGGGGGCGACATATCAGAGATTGGTCACCAAAATGTTCAAAAACCAGCTTGGTAAAACAATGAAAGTCTACATCGACGATATGCTGGTTAAGTCAAAGAGGAAAGAAGATCATAACGGTCATCTGAAGGAAGACTTCGACATATTGAGACGGTACGACATGAAACTAAAACCCAAAAAAATACGCATTCGGCGTAAGCTCGGGAAAGTTCCCCAGTTTCCTAGTGTCACAAATAGGCATCGAGGTCAACCCCGAACAGATTAAGGCCATCTAAAGAATACCCAAAACACTGACCAGCAAAAAATAGGTACAAAAATTGACGGGACAAGTAGCAGCCCTGTCGAGGTTCATCTCACGGTCATCAAATAGGTGCCATAAATTCTTTAATGTATTAAGGAAGGATAATGGGCTCCAATAGAATGTAGAGTGCGTCGATGCCCTGAGGAAAATAAAAGCGTATTTGTCTTCGCCACCCTTACTAGCCAAAGCAAACCCAGGCGAGTGACTCCTAGTCTACCTAGTCATATCTGAAGTTGCAGTAAGTGCAGTTTTGGTCCGAGAAATCCAAGGTACGAAATCTGCAATTTACTATATTAGCAAAACCTTAATTGATGCATAACAAGGTACCCACCTTGAAAAACTGGCTCTGGCACTAGTCGTAGCTTCACGAAAGCTTAGAACATATTTTCAATGCCACCCATAAAGGTGGTGACAACCTTTCCTCTCAGAAGTATCCTACATAAACCCGAATTATCGGGTCGGCTAGCCAAATGGGCCATAGAACTAAGCGATCATGATATAACATACCAACCACGAACCGCAATAAAGTCACAAGTGCTCGCCAACTTTGTCGCTGATTTCAACGCAGAGATACTTCCTGAAGTCGAGCAACAAGCTCTTTGCACTTCGCTTGAGCAATCCGACCTCTGAGTCCTCTACACCAACGGTGCATCCAACACGTCAGGATCGGGACTAGGACTCATACTCGAGGTCCCAACGGGAGAAGTAATTCGTCAATCTGTATGATGTCCTGAAATGACTAGCATTGAGGCCGAGTATGAGGCCGTAATTTCAGGATTAAAATTAGCCCTCAAGTACGGTGCTCGACGGGTCATCCTTTGCTGTGACTCTCAACTCGTTGTGAACAAGTTACTGGGACTTTCCAAATTAAGGAATAGAGGTTGCAGAAATACCAAACTAAAATCTACAAACTGCTGCCAGAATTTGACGAATGCCGTTTCGACCAAATTCCCCAAGCACAGAACATCGAAGCAGATGGTCTCGCCAAGCTGACTGCGGCAACCAAAAACATCACCAAGGAGAATGTGGTCGCCCTTCTCCACTCATCAATAGACCAAGTCGAGGTGCATTCTATAAATTTAACTTGGGACTGGCGTAATCGCATCATATCATATCTACAGGAAGGAACACTCCCACAAGATAAAAAGAAGCCAAAAAGCTCTAAATACAGGCGGCCAGATACAGTCTCATAAACCACGACCTTTACAAAAGGACATTCGGCGGCCCGTTGGCCAAATGCCTCGAACCCAATCAGACAAGGCGAGTGCACGAAGAGGTACACGAAGGCCACTGCGGTGCCCATACCGGTAACCAAGCCCTCGTTAGGTATCTTATACGTGCAGGATATTACTGGAGGCCACAGAGTATGTCAAGAAATGCGAGCAATGCCAAAAATACGCCCCTATGATACACCAGCGAGGGAACTCCTACACTCTGTCACCTCCCTATGGCCAATCATAAAATGGGGGATGGATATCGTTAGGCCCCTTCCAGCAAGGCGAGGTAAGGTACGCTTCCTTTTGGTTTTAACTGTCTATTTTTCCAAATGGGTGGAAGCAGGTGTGTTTGCTCAAATACGTGAACAAGAAGTCATCACGTTCATCTGGAAAAACATCATATGACATTTCGGCATCCCCAAAGAAATCAGTTGCGACAACGGACCCTAGTTTGTCAGAAAAAAGACGACTAAGTTTTTCGAAAAATGGCACATCAAGCGGATACTCTCCATGCCATATCATCCTGCCGGAAATGGTCAAGCGGAATCCTCCAATAAAACAATATTAAACATATTAAAGAAAAAGTTTGAAGACGCGAAAGGGCTATGGCCAGAACTACTACCGGAGGTGCTATGGGCCTACCACACAACGCCGAAGACCAATACAGGTGAGATTCAGTATTCACTGGCCTACGGCACCGATGCAGTCATACGCGTTGAGGTCGGGGAACCTAGCCTGAGGTACTCCAATGAGAGTGGATCAAGCAACGACGAAAGCAGGTTACAAAACCTGGATGAGGTCGAAGAGCGAAGTGATATGGCACACATAAGAATGGTGGCCCAAAAACAACAAGTAGAAAGGTACTATAACAAGAAGGCCAAATGTTTACCGTGAAAATGGTAACAATAATTAAATTTGTAAATGGGACTCTAAAAATACGTGATCTATTTTTATGCTAGTTGTTAGAGCAGTTGATGCTAGGTGTATGAATTTTAATGATGAAATACGAGTTAAAACAGGGCAGTAATCAAACCGAAGGGCTTGCTACCCGGGCTTCTGAATGGTCGATGAATGGCCTCGGTGTCGATATCCACCTCGATCTCAAGGTATCAGTGATAACCGGAAGGGGATAACAGTTAAGATATAATTAAAGAAGGCTCTCTATGGCCAATACCGAGCAATAAATGAAGAACAAGTATAAAAGTAATAAATGCAAAGGGTAGCCTCGAGCAAATGAGTTAGGGAGAAGAGAGAGAGAGAGAGAGAGAGAGATTATTGATCTTGTGTAGAATAGTTGGAGCAACGACATCCCCTTTCAAGGGGGTGCGGATTCCCTTTGTATAGAAGGGGGGTCCGATTATAGTACAATATACATTAATTATAAAATCATAGAGATGGGACAGCTAGACATGATGCCTTGACAAAGGCTCTGGGTAGGCCGGCTCTGTAAGACTTGGCCGCGTATCTTGGGAATTCCCTTTTTTGCTCTAGCCTCGATCTTTCTCTTCTTTGAGTCGGACCTCGACAAGCCCCAAGGGAGGGGACTCGGTCGCAACTCCACATCCTCAGGGTCTCGAGATATTCTTCCAAAGTGACTTGATAGCAAGAAATTAGGCCCTCTGATTTCGCCGCATACACCAAAGTATGACCACTCAGAGTTGGGGACTACGTACTAAAGGCCAAAACGCAAGCAGCAAAGGACCCAATGAAGGGAAACTGGGAACAAATTGGGATGGCCCGTACAAAATCACAGAAGCAGCAAGTAAAGGAGCATTCCAGCTAGAAACAATGGAAGGAAAGCTATTGCAAAATAACTGGAATGTCGCCCACCTTAAACACTTCCACTTCTGAAAAAAGACGTTGCCCGAGTCGTACTCTTTTTCCCTCGCCTAGGTTTTGTCCCAATCTGGTTTTCTCGGGGAGGTTTTTATTGAGGCGACGAGGGGGACGTCTCGAGGTTCGAAGTATTGTTCATTGCCCCACCTACCGATTACATCTCCAGGCAAAGCAATAAAGGTACTAGGTATAATCTTCATCATATGTACGAGTTCGACATGTATATCCAATATATGAATAAAATCACTCCATTATATATACGAAAGCAATACGCATCTCCAATGTATTAATGAAACTGGCATCCACGACTCCAACAAATAAAATAAAACGCCACCCTCACGATAGGATCTTACTTCGGCGCCAGCTCAAAAGTAACATCCCAATGGCTAAGGCCATCGACTTAAAACAAGTTCGACATCATTCTAACTACGACGGGATCTTACTTTAACGCCAGCTTAAAACTAACATCACAATGGCTAAGGCTATCGACTTAAAACAAGTTTGACATCGTTCGAACTGTGACGGGATCTTACTTCGGTGCCAGCTCAAAACTATCCTCCCAATGGATAAGGCCATCGACGAAAAGCGAGTTCGACATCATTCGAACTACGATGGGATCTTACTTCAGTGCCAGCTCAAAAGTAACATCCCAATGGCTAAGGCCATCAACTTAAAAGGAGTTCGACATCGTTCGAACTGCGACAGGATCTTACTTCGGCTCCAGCTCGAAAGTAACATCCCAATGGCTAAGGCCATCGACTTAAAACAAGTTCGACACCGTTTGAACTGCGACGAGATCTTACTTTGGCGCCATCTCGAATGTAACGTCTCAATGGCTAAGGCCATTGACTCAAAACAAGTTTGACATCATTTGAACTGCGAAGAGATCTTACTTCGATGCCAGCTCAAAAGTAACATCCCAATGGCTAAGGCCATTGATAAAAACAAGTTTGAGATCACTCGAACTACAACGGGATACTACTTCGGCGCCAACTCGAAAGCAATGTCCCTATGGCTAAGGTCGTTGCCAACGAAAAGAGTTCAACTAAACTCAATACAATAAGTTTAGCATTTCAACAAAGCGTCGAAGCGGCGTAACTACAGCAGAAGTCGTCAAAAAAATCAATCAAAGAAAGAAAACGACCCAGAGATGTACGACCAAAACGACCTCCATCCACAACAAATATGTTACAAATATTTGTCTTTACAAAGGGCCCAAAGATACCCTTACAAAAAACGCAAAGCAAAAGTAAGTACAAAACAAATACTACAAATCATTCCCGATGGCATACACGTCTTCATACCAAGAGTAGGAGGCGAGTCTGTTCGCATCATCAGAATTTATATCATATCTGTCAAGCGTAAGAGGATCGTACCTGCATGCCTCGCAAGCTGCATGAGCCTTGGCATGTACATCCCGAAGTTCCACTTCAGACACCCTCCCATCAATATGAAGATCCTTGTACACATCGAGCTGAGCCTCGGTGTGAACCCACAACTCATATAAACGTCGAGGTACGACGAGATCAGCTGGAGCATGAGATGTAGAAGGCTGCAACTGTCGTCGAACGTCCTCCACTTTCAAAGAATCCATCTGCTTGTTCAATGCGGACAGTTCTGCCTCCAACCCTTGAACACGCCCCTCAAGCCCTGCTATCTTAAGTGCAGACGCCTCCTTCTCCTTAGTCCACTCCGAACTACAAACACAGAGGACATCTTCCAAAACTGCTGCCTCAGAGACAACAGTCGCCAATTTTTCGGCACTCACGCCCAGCTCACCTTTAAGCTCATCAATCTCTGCTATCTTCGTATCCAGTTCGGCATTTAAATGGCCACCTTTGCTTGGAGATCGGCATTCTCGACCATTACCCGCCTACTTAGCTCAATCTCATCGTCCTTCACTTTAAGGGATGCCTCGAGCTCACTATTACGAGCGATGGCCTTCATAAGGTCCTCATCTCATTCCCTCAAGTCTTCGACCTTACGCGCCAATTGATCCTCCCTCTACTTGGGCCCTTCGCGGAACAGCTAGAAGTTAGGATCCTGATTATAGATGTCGGCCATCGCACGATTCTTGGTGCGATATACTTGATATTTAGAAGACATCTTTCCATAAATAGTCATCCTTTTCCTTTCTAGACGCTCGCGCTCGACCTCTATATTAAAGGTCTGGCACAAAAAGTAAAGTTAAAACAAAAAGGCAGGCCAAAAATAATAACACAAACTCAACGATGAAACGAAAAGAAAAATATTTACCCGCAAGGCCATGCAAGAGACGCTCCGAGACAACTCCATATCGCTCATCGCTCTAGGTGCCTTGTTCTTAGGGGCAGCACATAAAGGAGCTAAAGCAGACACCACCTGATCATAGTCTGATAATAAGTTGTAGTCCTCAGGGACAACTATGTGTCGATCAGAACCCTCCGCTCTGACCTCTACATGAGTGTGACGCTCCAAAAATTCACGAACATCCCCCGAGTCAACATCCGAGCCCGAGCCTTTTCCCTCAACGCGTAGGCCCCCTCCGACATTAGACGATATGCCACCCTCAGCAGAGCACACGGGACCACTTCCTTGGTAAACCCCTTCTATTTGGGGAGACCTCCCCGCCAAGATGGCCTCGACCATAAATGTGGGCACATGTGTCGTCTGCAATGCATCCATCCTACTCTTACCGGTATCAACGGCTACGCCCTTCCCAATCTCCACCCTCTTTCTTTTCATCAATAACGATTCGTCCCCATTAGAGGACTCCTCCACAAGGTGATGGATCCATATGGAAGAGGTCTCTTCCCTCACGACCATATCATTAGAAGGATATCCCATCTGTATCGGTTGAGCACGACCCTCTCGGATGGACTCACTCAGAGTAAATTACATTCTTACAGCAGCAACGGCCTGTCGAAATGCAGGGACTAGGGCCCTCTGCCTAGAAGCTCCATGACCTGTCATCATAAAGAGTCGCATAAATAGACAACGGTGTATAGTCGAAGAGTGATACAGAGGAAGACACTTACCAGATGAAACTTTTGGCCCAAATCATTTCACGAAAGCGGTCTAGTCTCGAGTCTCTACTGCATGGGGTAGCAAATGGACTACCCAATCCCTTATACCTGTAATAGGGTAGGGTGGACGCCCCACAGCTACAAATGAGAAGCAAATAAACACTAAGGTGAATGAAGAAAAAAAGAAAGAGTAAAACAAGTGGTGACACTTACGGTTTTCTTTTCATCGCTCTGAGAACCTGGCAGGGTCAGACACGACGTGTTCGGTTTTGACGAAGAAGTACTTATGCCAAAATTTGTGACTCACTTGGTCATCTGTTCTGACCACCATCCCTTTTGTCCCACGGTGCCTCAAATGTAACATAGTACCCCTATTAAAGTTGGGTGAAAACAAGTGTGGAAGGTAGTGAACGGTAACCTCGCACCCCGCCAACTCCGCATATTTTGTCAACAATAGGAGTATTTTGAGCATGTACGGGGAAAGTTGAGCCGGGAAAACTTGACAGAATTCTTCCAGTAATGGGAGAAGGGGGAAGGAATGACTAATCACAAAGGGGTACTCATAAAAGCACAGTACCCAGGCCTATGGACTTCCACGAACTCCCTTCCCGCTGGACCATATCAATATGAGCGGGAATGTTATATTTTGCATGAAGAGCATCGATATGGACTTGTTCAGTTTTAGAGAGTACGGGAGCAGGAGTAAGAGGAGGATCCTTAAGAAAGTCGCTTCGAGACATAGGGTGTCTCGGAAGTAAATTCATCCACGTTGGGAAAGTTGTCCCCCTCCTCCACTGTCATGTCCTCACTGCCAGAGGGGAGCGCCATGGACAACGGGGTGGCGNTTGCTCAGTTTCGGAGACTACGGGGGCAGAAGTAGGAGGAGGGTCCTTAAGGAAATCGCTTCGAGACGTGGGGTGTCTTGGCAGCAACTCCTCCACAGTAGGAAAGTTGTCCCCTTCCTCCACTGTCATGTCTTAACCGCCGGTAGGGGGCACCACAAACAACGGGGTAGCGTCAGAAACCCCCTCACGATATCAATGTGATCTAGGTATATCTATGGCGATGAACGTGTTGACATAACAGAAAAAGCCGAGAACTGCAAACGGAGAGAAAGCAAAGAGAATTGTTAGAGTAAAAGTAGGAGAGAAGGTAAGGAATAACCAAAGAAGAAATGGCCAAGAGTTTTTGAAAATACAAACCCTCCATCTATTTATAGGACTGGGTGGCGCCAAAATCGAAGCGGAAGGCTGTAGAATGGCACCGAAATCGAAGCGACAAGCCCTCAGCCC